TTGACAAAGATTAAGATTTTCTACAAAGAAAACTTTCATATTGTCTTACTAAGTTTATCTTCCTCAATTCTTATACCTCAATAGTACCTTCATGTTGAACACAAAGAGTGTCCCACATGGTTTTCGAGGTTTTAAGCTTCGTCACAGAGTGCTAGATCTCTTCAGGAAAAGTCATTGTTATGATAGATCTCACACGAGTATCTAAAGCCATCTTTTCCTTATCTTCGTCACTTCACTAATGAGGAAATTTTTGAATCTGCCATTCAGGAATCGCGACAGTCATAGCAGTAGCATGAACTTCTGGGGAGATTGTGAATGGAACATAAGGTTCATTCTCAATGTAGTATGAAATCTCAAGATCCACACCTTCCAAGAAGACAAACATCCAGTTCTTCCAGAGATTGAAGTTGTCTCTTATAAATTGGGGAGGTTTGGCAAGAGAGCAATTATCGTTAAAGTTTGTGCTCATGATTTGTATAGCCATTTGAAAGGTAAATAAACTATCTAGAAAAGAAGAGATAATAAAACCCCAATAAAACAACAATACAACACAAAAACAAACACTTCTCTGATACCACTTGTCGGGCCCAGTCGGATGTACAAGAGTCTATAGGTAACAGTTTGTAGAGGGGGAGATGAATACAAATACAGAAGCTTTCACTTTTAAAAACTTATATTGATAAAGAAGATCAATATAGATTTTTACATATTGTTTACGAAAAAGATAAGATACAGAATTTATCTAAATAATCAAAGAAACACACAAATTACAGATAACAAGAATAAAAGACTTGCTACAAGAAATAGGTTAAGAAGTATTTTGCTCATCACTTGTTAATGTGGAAGTCTTTCTCTTAGATAGAGAGTTAGAGGGAGAACTATATTTTTGGGTAAGATCTTCAAGGCAAGGATGCTTGAATATGAGATTCAGAGGTCTAACTAAGAAGGATGAACTAGTAAGCTATTTATACTCATTGCATTAAATGGAATTTAGAAGGTATAAAGCACGTGACAAGCTTCTCCTTCGTTGCAGATATATAGTCTTTGGTCGTATATGAATAGTCGTCTTTCATAAAGTAGGTAAGAACGCTTGGAGACAGTGGAGTGACTCCGTATAGTATTTTACTTTGAAAGGTATGGGTTTGTCCTATGTGTTCAGAAGGACGAGACAAAAACTAATCTTTATCAAAAAGATTCATTTGATCCCTGACATTGAAATGATGTTGGAGGTCTCTTTAGTGGTCGCTGAATATTGCAGTAGAATTCACACTCGTGTAGACGAACTTGTTATCACTAAAAAACCGCTTCAGATCACGAACTTGCTAATCTCTATATTCAGCTTCTATCTTTGATATCGCTGAATGATCTGTAGTGTGAGTTTTATCTTCTTGAAGGATACTTGTTTCTTAAAGAATTACAATAAATGTTCAGCGATCACTGAACAGACTCAGTGATGATTGCTGAAGCTGAATACAGAGATAGTATACTTCATAAAGTTAACAGGATCTCATCAAATCACTGACAGAGGGGATCAACAGAACCAAATGGTCATTTCGTTAAACTCAAGGGTAAAATCATAATTTTTATCATTTCATTGTACTTAAGTAGTTTTTTCGTCTTTCTTGATATCATCGTCTCCCCAAAAGAAATTTCAAGAATAAAATTTAAACTTAAACTGGAAAAAAAAAAACTCTAAACCTAATGAAAAACAAAATATAAACCTAAATGAAGCCTATAAAAAACCAAAACAAAAACCTAAAGCTGATTAAAACCTAAATGAAACCTATAAAGAGAAGTTTGTAAACAAACAATCCCTACATCCAGATCTGCTTCTTGTTAAGAAATCCGACAATAATGGTTGGATCTGCTTCTTCTTAGGGAGTCGGAGATGAGGATGCGATGGCTGAAACCCCACTTTTCCCCATCGACATCACGAACCAGAAGCCGATTTCAGTTTATTCTTCTATTTGTGTTGTCGAACTCAATTTTTGTGTATGTTTGCCAAACTCGATTTTGATTTTAATGGAGAAGATTTTTATTTTTGTATTTGTTTCAAACTCGATTTCTCTTTGTGTTCAAACCTAATTAAATTTCAATGGAGAAGATTTAGTTTTTGTGTGTGAGAGAGTCAAAGTCGATTTCTCTGTGTTTAACTTCTTTGGAGAAAATTTTGATTTGCCAAACTTATTCTAATTTCAATGGAGAAGCTTTAGTTTTTGTGTATGAGAGAGTCAAAGTCGATTTCTCTGTGTTTTCCAAACTCGACACTGATTTCAAGGTTTAACTTGTATGGAGGAAATTTTGATTTGCCCAACTCGAGGTTTAATTTCAATTGAGAATATGAATATTTCAATGAAGAAGATGAACGATCCGATCAAGAGGCATAAAAATAGAGTAAAAACATTAAATTGAAGGAAAATGCTGAAAAGACTATAATGCCCTTGTAGTTAACAAATTTGATGGATGGCCGTTTGGTTCAAAGACCAAATCCAAAAAAATTGCATACTATCAGCTTATCTTGGTAATAAATGAAGTTTAAGAACTAATTTCATAAAAATCCACATACCACAAGGACCAGATTTTTTAATTTACAATATTTATTATTAGCACGATAAATATGGTGAGAAGATATTAAATGAGGGTTAAACCATATGTAAATCATTCAAAAAAAAATATTTAAAGTTGCATATGTGAATCCAATATGAAAAATTTGTAACATCAGTTTACATATGCATCTTTAAATATATTTTTCGAAACTTTTCGATAAATTCATATATGAACCTTTTTTTATCATCTTCTCACGATATTTAACCATTTTATTCGAACCAACCTCTTATTATTTAAATGACCAAACACATAAAAAAATTAACAAATTGTATAAGATAAAACATAAGGGTGCATAACCCATCAACCGTTCAACCCAACCCAATACAAAGACCAACAAAATCCAATTTAATCATATGTTTAATTGATTTATAAAATGTATAAATGGAGGAGAGTGGCGTCACTCAAATCGAACCAGAATGCCAAACTTGAAAAAATATATATAGTAATAAAAATATTTGTATTATTAACTATTAAATGTCTATTAATAAACAAAAATACATAGTCCATATAAAGACAATTGATTGACGGTTTAATGTGCTAACCCATTAATTAAGTAGTCCAAATTCCAACTATTCCAATGCTTCAAGTCAAAATTTTGTTTTTTCATCATAGATAACATGAACAAACTCAATGCTAAAGTAGCATCGGAGTTCAAAACCGTTATTGATTGACAATTTTATGTTAATTCAATGTTCTTATGTACTATGTTGACATTTATGATGGGAAATTAGTCATAAACGTTGATGGCTCTAATATTTTTGAGTAGTTATGTGTCATTTGACGTTTTGGGTTTTGCTTCGATTTTTCAAAAAAATGACCTTCTTGCCTAGTGAGTTGTTGAGCCAACTGAGCCATTTGAGTATCCATCATGATATTAGTAGAAACCATGAATTATAACCAATTGGTCACTTGTTAAAATAAGTTGTGGAAGTGCTCATTCTTTTGGTTTTGACTATTGACTAAGATTGCAACTTTCTAAGGAAGATTCCTAATAGGTTCTCTGTGCTTGTTGCTGAAAGGGGCGTTCAGAGCTGGAGCACGGTGCTGAAAGGCATTTTGCTACTGTTGGAATGGAGGTTATTGTGGAAAAGGTGGTTGAGGTTGGTACACATGGGTTGTTGTGGTTGATATTGCATCCCTGACTATTGTTGTTGTTGGAAAGAAGGTTAAGGTTCCTGATTAGTTTTTTGATTAATCTGGATATCCAACCTTGCATATGAGGTGGAGATAGGTGTGTCGCCATGAAACGTTAGGATATTGGCTCCATCCTGGATTGTAAGTAGGAGCATTTGCGTCATGAACTCTATGTTGACCTCGAGGCTGGATTTGTAGGACATTCTTTTGTTCCATGGTCATGTTATTAGCTACCACACATAATTCAAATTCATGACCATGTTCCCCACATATGTTACAAGGTAATGCCGGCTACCCTTGAGGTCGTTGATCTTGCTCATCTTTGTCATCTTATCATCGACTCGAGAACTCGTATCTTAAACCTTTCCATCATGCCTACAAATACGTTAGTGTTGGACTTAGCTGCCTTTTTATGAATAACTTGATCAGTTGGCTGTTGATAGTGATTTGTGGCATCAATGCCTTGATCAAGGTTGGAGTCTTACTCATGATTATACCCCACCCACCCCACCCCACAATCGGTTGTCTTATCAATAGAGAATCTAATAGGATTCAACCTATTGTAGAAAAATCTGTTGGGATTTTACCATGGGAATTGATCCCGCATAGGAAGGAGAGGGAAATTGGAGAGACTTATAAGGCTAATTCCATAAGCCTTATCAAAATTGGACGAAGCCACATGGATTAAGCTTGGTGCTTGGTATATACATTAATGGTCAAAGGGCTGTTAGGGTCTCTTAACCGACTATTGCCGAATCGGTGTTACGAACAGTAGCACATGTTCGTGATCGTTTTTGGGATAACCGCAAATATCTACCATAGGATATATATAGTCTTCACTTTCCCTCCGAATTTGATAGCAGCAAATATACAATATTGCTTTGTTTCTTCATGTTTTTCCCCAATACACGATCCATGAACACATAGGAATCTCGACAGATTTATGTTCTCGTGCAAGAACACAAATTAGATAGTTGTATCCTCTAAACGGACGCTCAGACTACGCACGAGTAGGGGCGAAATTCTGTTTAAGGACACTACAGAAGCACGCCTCTATATGTTCATCTTCGATCGTTCATTCCAAGTATGTTATCTTACTCTACATGATACATATTTGCTATATGAACATATATACATATACACGTTTAGTTCGTTTCTCTTGATTTTTAATTATTCCAGTGCACGTAAACGTTCACACTAGTCTATGATAAGTTCAGTACAATAACATAGGTTCTAACAATCTTAAACATAATTTTGTGATGGATCCTACATCCATAATAAAGAACCATGTCGAGAAACCGGAAAAATTCAAAGGGACGGATTTTAGACACTGGCAACAGAACATGTTGTTTTATTTAACAACTCTTCACGTCTCCAACGTGTTAACGGATGACGAGCCCTGTAATCCACCCGTGAGTCTTGGACAAAATGTTCCTACCGCTACTCAAATGAAACAATTTGAGAAAGCAGTGGAAACTTGGAAGAGCAACGAATATAATTGTATAAATTATATTCTAAATGCTCTTGATGATTCCATATATGATATCTACTCAACTTTCAAAATCGCAAGAGAGATATGGGAATCATTACAGCATAAGTATAAAAACAAAGTTGCTTGTTCCAAACGATTTGTGGTAGAAAAATTCCTACACTACAAAATGATTGACACTAAATCAATCGTCAAACAAGTTGAGGAACTCCAAGTCATCACTCACGAGTTGGAAGTGGAAGGTATGGGCATCAACTCTAACTTTTTGGTAGGGTCTATAATTGAGAAGTTACCTTCGTCATGGAAGAACTTCAAATTGTACCTGAAACATTTAACTGATGATATGAGCTTTGAACAACTTGTCCTCAAACTCCGAGTTGAGGAGGATAACAGGTTGTCTGAAAAAGCCGATGCTAGTTCCTTGAGCCAAATGCAAATAAGATGGCTGTAAGTACCTCTATGGGGAATTTTCAGAAGTTTAAGGGCAAAGGCTTTGCCCCTAAGCCATCATTAAAAACTCTCTTGCCCCACAGAAAAATAACTTCAAAAAGCCGCACATCCTAAGCTGTTGGGTGTGTGGTAAGCCCAGTCATAGGGCAAAAGATTGTAGACACAAGAGAGATCATGGTGGTGGTGGAAATGGTGGTGGAGGTGCTGGACCGTCTCACCAAGCCAACATGGCTGATTCTGAAACTCAATTCATCGGCGTGGTGGAAGAAAATTTGGTGACTAACACTACGGATTGGTCGCTTGATACCGGAGCCACTAGACACATATGCAATATCAGAGGCTCATTTGCTACATACCAAAAGGTTAGTAATGAAGAACCGATGTCTCTGGGGAATGCGACGACGGCAACGGTAGAAGGCAAAGAAAAGCGATTCTGAAGCTCACTTCCGGAAAAGACCTCGTTCTTACAAACGTGCTACATGTACCTGACATTAGGAAGAATTTAATTTCTGGTCCTATGTTAAGTAATAAGGGATTCAAGATTGTGTTTGAATCGAATAAGTTTGTAATTACTAAAGGGGGTCTGTATGATGGAAAGGGTTACCTTTCCGAGGGACTCTTCAAAATGACAATGTATTTAGCAATAAAACGACGAGCACTGGCTCGACTTCTATGTACATGATTGAATCATCTACCTTATGGCATTCTCGACTTGGGCATGTCAATTTTCGTTGTTTACAAAGAATGAAAAAACTTGGCATGTTACCATCTTGTTCAATGAACAACAAAACTAAGTGTGAAATATGCATAGAATCCAAGTTCACTAGTCATCCACATAAATCCGTTGAGAAAAATAATGAAGTACTTGGTCTAATACATAGTGACTTGTGCGACTACAAAGCAACTCCTACGTGTCGAAGGAAAAACTATTACATATCTTTCATTGATGATTGCAGTAAGTTTTGTTATGTATATTTAATCAATACCAAAGATGAGGCTTTAAATATGTTTAAAACATACAAAGACGAAGTTGAGAATCAACTCGATAAACGGATCAAAATCTTAAGATCCGGTAGAGGAGGAGAGTATGAGTCAAATGACTTTGCTGAATTTTGCTGCTCTCATGGTATTGTGCATCAAACGACGGCCCCTTATACTCCCCAACAAAATGGAGTAGCTGAAAGGAATAATCGAACATTGAAGAACATGATCAATTCAATGTTGATAACCTAAGGGGCACCACATAGCTTATGGGGCGAGGCATGCCTTACTGCAAACATGATATTAAATAGGATCCCTCACAAAAACAACAATAAATGTCTGTATGAATTATGGAAAGGAAGGTTACCCACCTTCAAAAGAATGAAAGTGTGGGGTTGCTTGGCCAAGGTTCAAGTCCCTTTGCCTAAACGGACAAAACTTGGACCAAAAACCGTAGATTGTATATATCTTGGTCCCGCCAAGAATAGTGCAACCTATAGGTTCCTTGTATACAAGTCTTACGTTGATTATGTCAACGTCAATACCATCATAGAATCTGCAGAAGCAGAATTCTTTGAAGATATATTTCCTTATAGGGATAAAGAGGGACAATTCTCCAATCAAAGGAAAAGAGCTTGTGAGGAAACAAGTTATGATGCCTTAGACCAAAGTGATCAGAACATTCATGATGAAACTTCTAAGGCTCAACAAGAGTTAGAACCTAGAAGAAGTAAACGAGGAAGGATCGCTAAAGATCTTGGTCCCGATTTTATGACCTTCAATGTAGAAGGTGAACCTCAATCCTACAAAGCCGCTATGGAGTCATCAAAGGCACCTTATTGGAAATAGGCAATAAATAGTGAGATAGATTCAATCATTCAAAATAATACTTGGAAATTGGTTCATCTACCTCTGGGACACAAACTGATTGGCCATAAATGGATTTTTAAAAGAAAACTTTGGCCCGATGGTACCATAGAAAAGTACAAGGCTAGACTTATAGCTAAGGGGTTTCATCAAAAGGAGGGTCAAGACTTCTTTGACACCTATTCGCCAGTTACAAGAATCACGTCCATAAGGACTTTAATAGCTATAGCAACAATTCACAATTTGGAAATTCACCAAATGAATGTGAAAACTGCTTTCTTAAATGGCGAATTAGATGAAGAGATCTATATGCAACAACCTGAAGGATTTGTTGTTAAAGGCCAAGAACACAAGGTATGCAAATTGGTGAAGTCCCTCTATGGACTTAAGCAAGCACCAAAGCAATGGCATGAAAAGTTTGACGACACCTTGTTATCAAACAACTTCCGAATCAATGAATGTGATAAATGTGTATATGTTAAACAATGCAAAAATGCTTATGTTATTATATGTTTATATGTCGATGATATGCTTATCATGGGAACCAACTTGGATATTATCAACCAAACCAAGAAGATGCTACATTCCTCATTCGATATGAAAGATATGGGAGTAGCCGACATTATCCTTGGTCTTAGAATTCAAAGAAATTCCAATGGTTACATCCTGTCTCAATCTCATTACATTGAGAAAGTTCTACAAAAGTTCGGACACTATGACGATAGACCGGTGGTCACTCCATTTGATCCATCTAGTCAATTAAAGAAAAATCAAGGAGATAGTGTGTCCCAATTGCAATATACACAAGTGCTTGGGAGCTTGATGTATATTATGAACTGTACTAGACTCGATCTAGCATAATCAGTGAGTAAACTTAGTTGCTATTCGCACAATCCGGGTAATGATCATTGGTTTGCACTAGTGAGAGTGCTCCGATATCTCAAACACACCATGAATTATGGGTTGAACTACACAAAATATCATCCTGTTCTGGAAGGTTATTGTGACGCCAATTGGATTTCAAACAATTCAGAAATTAAGTCCACAAGTGGGTATGTCTTTACACTTGGTGGAGAAGCAGTATCGTGGAAATCATCAAAACAAACGGTAAATACACACTCAACAATGGAAGCATAATTTGTGGCTTTAGACAAAGCAGCGGAAGAACCTGAATGGCTTAAAAGCTTCCTAGGAGGTATACCATTATGGCTGAAGCCTGTCACTGCTATTTGTATACAATGTGACAGTATGGCCGCTCTAACAAGAGCAAAGAATCATATATACAATGGTAAATCAAGACACATAAGGCGTCGTCACGACACTATATATGATTTGCTAAAGAATGGAATAATATCCATTGATTATGTAAAGTCAAAGGAAAACATAGCCGACCCTTTGACGAAAGGGCTAAATAGAGAGCAAGTCATTAACACATCGAAGGAAATGGGCTTAAAGCCAATTCAATGAGTTATAACCTGGCGGAAACCTAACCTAGCAATATTGAGATCCCATGGTTCTAGGTTGAATAGGCAAACTAGTTGGGGAAAACTCAAGACGCAATCTAACACACAGGCATGCTCATTCCTATGATACTTTTTGTGTGTTTCCGTTGACGATTAAGGGTTGAATAGTACTTCTTAATAATGCTAATAGCTTTGACAGTGGAACAATACGAAATGTTCTTGATTGGCATTACCTATGTGAGATTGATGTATGGTCGCATCTATGAGGATCGAGATGACAATGTTCTCTAAGAATCTCATGAAGAAAGGATACGTTCAAGACCGAAATGAACACAACCGTAAGAGTTACACTATGTGTTAGATATGATGTATAGGATACTTGTTGTCTAGATTTACTAAACAAAGTGGTTAGTTCAAGACATTGTTTACTACTGTTATAACCAGGTTTTCTACGAATCTGGGTCAAGGTAACTTTATGTGTTTATGGGATGACATGCATAATTATGGTAATATTTACATGAATTATGTGTGCATATGTGGTAAATTACTATTATGCATGCATGTGGAAAATTATATAGGCGGTTATAGGATAATATAATATGAGACCCAAACCTTCATGGTTAAGAAATGATGATTTTTAATATATATTCTTTCAAAACCACCTAAGGACTTTTATATTAAAAATATCATCCACCGCCTCATCCTAAGTATAAAAGAAAGAGGATAAGGTAAAAACCTTATCAGTTCACTATTTTGCAAAATATACAAGAGAAATATAAAGGTGGTGAAAACATTCTTAGAAAGTGCTCTTGAAAAATATTCTTGAAGAATATTGTTGTTTAAAGATTTTGTAATTTGCTACGTGATAATCTGCAGAATATGTTATTTTAAGGTGAGTTTTAAACTACCGTCGATTATAAACTGTGAGTTTTATCTACTGTTTGATTCTATAAATTATGGAATATTGATGGGTTTAAATTTAAAAGAATCCAGTAGAACTGTTTTAAAAGGTTTTTAAAAGAAACTGTTTTATGAATTGAAAAGCTTAAACATGTTTTGAAAAAGATTGAGCAGGAACTGTGTTTGAAGGAACAATTTGGATTTGGTACTCTGTTTTTGAGGATTAAGCAACAACAGACGATTGAGAAATCATATGTAGAACAGATTGCTCTTATGGTTTGAAGGGTTTGAATATAAACCTGTGTTGAGATTATGATTTGTTAAAACTATAGACGAGGTTCACTCTGACGTACATGACTTTGTTTAGTCATTGGATGAAATAGTCTATAGATTATGGATAAAAACTATGAACGAGGTTCACTCTGACAGAAAGTTATGCATCCTGTCATTAGATGAAATAGTTCATATGAATTTCAGGGGAAATAAGAATGGTCGTTGTGTGTGATGGACAGCTATTGCTATAAATAGGAGATTGATGGAAGTAATAAGGATGGTCGTTGTGTGTGTGTGCATGGTATAACTTTTACTATTATATCTAATAAGAATACAACAGATTGGAGTTCACTCTTCTTGGTGATTTGAGGATTTAAAGATGTTGTTCTTATTGAAAATAGTAGTATTGATGTTATGGTTATGGGAAAATATGGCCTATGGTTATTGGTTTTGACAAAAGTATTTTGGAACAAAATATACATTTTATGAGGAACCAGAGGAGCTCTGGTTGGTCCTCACTAATGGACCAGAGGGTTCTTGTTATTTGATTTGATGAATAAGCAAATTTTTACTAAACGTATTAGTTGGACCAGAGGCTCTATATCTATTGATAAGAGCTTCTGTGTCAAAATCATCTTTATTGATAGCATCTTCTTTGTCAAATCATATTTATTGATAAGAGCTTCTGTGTTAAAATTATGTTTTAAGAAGTTTTAAGAAAAAGGAATTTTATACTTAGTATTTTATACAAAAGACATACCATAAGGGCTCTGGTCGACTCGCACGTCGAACCAGAGGCTCTGGTTGATCATAACTTTTGAACCAGAGGCTTTGGTTAGTACAACTAGAGGCTCTGGTCGAGTAAGAACTATGTATCGCTACTCTTTTTATGAGAAAGGACATCTTGTTGATTGGAAGCTTAATCTTAAGAATAGTATATGAGCTAGAGGCTC